AGCAAGAGGTTGATGTCACTGAGAAACTGAGGGTAACAAGCCAGCGGCTTGTCAATCACAAGGTAATCCTGCCCTAAAGCAAAGCCTGCTGTATTGAGCTCTTTGATTTACAAGATGAACACTATGCTGTGTTAAATAAGATTTAAGACAGGCAATTTATATCATAAGCACATAAGGAGAGTGTGTACAAAGGCAATAAATTAGGTGAGAATTTAAGGTTATTTTCCAATAATCGTACATAACGTACATCTTTTTGCAGCTATGGCAGTCGCCCTCTGCTGACCATTAAGTCATATAAATAAGTTTTATTTAATTTATTAATAGAAATTAATTAATAAGACCACAGGTTTAAGGCATGTTTGCATTGGATTCACTTGTCAGACAAGAGTCCTGGACTGTGAAGCAGGATGTCGGCTAAATGAGGTACCTGGACGTCCCAACAGACACTAACGTTCACCATCTGAGGATGAAATTTAAATCAGTCAGACCTGAGCGAACTTTAGCAGACAGGTTTAGGTGAAAGTAGGGGTTACTGTAGCTCAGGAGGTAGAGCAGGTCATCTGCTAAACGCAAGGTTGGTGGTTCGATCCCTGCAAGCCAAATATCCTTGGGCAACCCGAGTTGCCCCAGCTCTCTAATGCATCCGATGCCTCCATAGGAAAGCACTGAGAAGCTTAAACAAGAAGAAAGCACTTGTGTGAATGGGTGAATGTGGCTTCGGTAGAGGTATCAGTCCTGTCTTCCAGGTAAGAGATCAGCATACACAAAACTACCACCTACTGCCTAATCTGCTCTATGGAAAATAACTTCAGCATTCCCAGAAGAGGACAGTAGCTTACAGAGAGTATTTGAACTCTTTTGGGTTTTCCTGATAAGCCATTACCATAACTGAGAGATTAAATAACTTCCAAACCATTTCATGCTTATGTAGTTATAAAGTGACATAAAACAGAGAAAAACAAACCTTTGCACTTGCTGACCTTAAATAAAATATGCAACTCATTTTGTCTACTTCTCATTTTAATTTTTTAAATATGTTCTTTACTTCCCCTTTGGCTGCCTGCACAGCTCTTTTTCGGTTCTTTGTCCGCAGCTGCATTTAGAGCAGGGTGTCAAACTGGACGGCTTTGAAAAATGAGAAGGAGGGGCAACAATTTGGAACTTTTAACTGTATTTTTATGAACTTTATAATTTTTTCCTGCTGATAAAGACTTCACCACTGTCATTCATACTATAATAAAGTAATTAAGTAATAGTTAAACAATTAAATGACAGAAAGGTTCCTTTGTTTCCAATATTTACTATACAAATGTCTTTTGTTTATTTCACAAAGGATATGCTGTTTCATAGTACAGGCCCCTGGAGAGTGTGAATATCTTATATGCAGTCTATGGTTTCAGAGCCTCCCAGTGGTATTTAACTATGTTCAGTGCATTTACTCAGTGTTACTGGGGATTCATCTGTGGTAAATCCACACCGTAGGTAGGTTATAACCTGCAAGCCCTCTGAAATCCTACCTGGGGATTTATGCTTCAGCAGGAAAGCTACATTGCAACCTCAAACCCCTCTGTAACCTACGATGTAACCTGACATACTCCTGTGCATTTCTGGCTACTTTTACACCACAGTTTTTGAATTTATGAGTTATAACAATCATAGGATTAATATAAGGGCTCACAAATATCAAGAAATTCCTGGAAAGAGATTGCTAAAACTATCAGAATGGATGTGAGGTACGAGGACAAAAAGTCCCAGCATTTTATTTTGTATCATAGCTGGCACCACCAGGACACAACCACATGGTTGGTAACACGTAATGCACCAGCGCAAGCACAAGTAGGTCATGCTGTAGGCCCAAGAAAATTCACAGCATAAGTCTAAATCAGCCGTCACACTCACCGACAACAAACATGTCACAACTATCATCACAACAAAGCACAGCTGAGACTGGCACTGGCACTGCACTCACAACCAGTGCTACCAGTCCAGTAACTACGTGGTGCTGTATTACGATGCTGACTGAGATTAAATATAAACATTATTTGGGAAATAATGCAAATCTTATTGAATTGTCATTCAAATGCAGTTCTCAAAAAAAGAGAGTCGAGAATTTTTTAGGGAGCTTTGTGCTAACACTGGTGGTAGTTTCAGTTCCAATTGATGTTGTTAACGATAGCTTTCCCTAACCAGTCGCTTCTGATAATGTGTTAACAACAAACAACAGCTAAATGCCGAAAAGCACTTAAAGTTATCTTTGCTAATGGGGGGAGAGAAGTGATAGTGATGCATATCATTTCTCTCCCCCCAACTAACATCCAAACATCTGATCATTTGTGACGCAGACTCTATACCACATCCTTCGTTATCATAAATACCACCGCAAGCTGCTGCCTGCTACACTCTCTATTCTCATTCTTTGATTGTCATCTGACCATCTGCTTTGCAGCAATAAACAGGCATATATAATATCTGCAAACCCTCCATATCATATGGAGATAAATGTTCAAGGGTCAGACAGTCTGTGAGACGAGAATCACGAGGTGAGGAACAGGTGAACAAAGGAGTCGAGAGGAGAAAAAGAAAATCACAGCGATCAATCATAAAAATGGAAGCAGGAGATCGATTCATACACACCGTGTAGACCGGGAATGTCAAACTCCTTTTATAAAGCCCGCTTTGTTCTTATGTGGGCCGCACCAGTGAAACTCCAGTGTCAGTGTGAGATGTTTAATTACGCCTTTAATCAGTGAGATATTTAATATAAGACAAAGAATTTCAACAGGTAAAGTAAAGAAATGCTGGTGTTGCAAATGAAATAAATGTGTCAGCATGACTCTTTGAGCTTAATTTGTAAGGAGCAATGTGTAAAATCACAGAAATCCATAATTTAATTACTTTTCATGGGTCTGTGTAGGTTTTCAGTCATCCAGGTCATAATAATTTGAGGATTCCTTTCTTTCCAAGCTCCTTAGAATATTTTCATGGGCAGGAAAAATCCAAAATTTATGCCCTCTTTCACATTTTCCAAACCCAACCTGTGGGCTTTATTGGGGTCTTTGCTGGGCCAATTCTGGGTCCTTATAACTAACTTGTCCACTGTGGTCTATAGTGATTTATCTTTGAGAGCCATAAAAACCATTTCTCTAAAAAAAAAACGTGTAGTCACTGTGACTGGTATACTTGTCTTCATTCACATGAGCTCTCTCCTTCTGAATCTTCTAAAACTGCATGTTTTTGCGCGTCTGTCAAAGAAGCACGACCACGCAAGGCCAAGACGCAACCTAAACACTGATCCCTTACCTCACTGCCAGTGAGCGGATGTGTTTCATGCGTGTATGAGTGCGTGTGACCTTGCGGAGGAATTCCCTTTCTCCCCGAGCTCTAAGGAAGTGATACCCTGTTCCAGACGGACAAAAGGGTCAGAGAGCAACTCAGGACACACAAAAACACCCACACACTTTTCCAAGGAGGAAAGTGCAAACTAACGATGAGTTCTCACTCACAACAACACGCATCCATGATATTTTCCATTAGATAAATCTTTTCCTTTTATAATCATCCATTTAGCCACTAATCTCCTCCCAGCTCTGGTATCAGGACACACAGGTGTTTGCAGCACACACACTCCTTCCTCTCCAGAGGCGTTTAGGGGCTCCTGCAGTGCAACATTTCTTCCAACAAGCAGCACGGATGATATTGACCCGTTACATACACACATGGGACAATTACCAGATAACCTGCTGCTATGCTAAAGCACACCTCTTCCATCCCACAGCATATAGAGGGCTGCGTCTGAATGTTTCACTGTTGCTAGGAGACGTGAAAATCCTTGAGCATCCAGTTGGCAGTTAATACAGTGGAAAAAAAAAAAAAAAACACAGACTTCAAACAAATTGAAAAATATAAATGCCAAAAAAGCACCTCCACATTTTTGCCACGTTCCTGTGGTCGTTTATATCATTTCCTGTGGCAAAGGCTGCAAACTCGGACACAGAGTCTGTCCACAGTACACTAGGAGACGACGGACAAAGTGAGGATGAGGGACAAAACTGGCAGGGAGGGATGAGAGAGGAAAGAAAAGTGCCTTTTTTTTTTGCATATAATTCAAATGTCAACCTCAACATAGAAGGTCGTAAATAAGGCCAATTCATTACTCTCTTGCTTTGAGGAGGGTTTTTTTTCCAGTGTGACAAGTCAAATGGCACAAAATTACATACTTTTTCTGATGCAGACATACGACAAAACGTGACAAAAGGTTGTTTTTTTTCTGGTGAGAGTCTGCAAGGACATATTTCATGAGTCTAGATCACCTTCCTGCTGTCTACATATCTTTTCCCCACTGAAATAAAGAAGCAGAAACACAGTTCTAGGTTATTCTATTTAAAAGAGAAGCCAAGTCTGCAGCTTTGTTTACACAGAAAATTGGACATTTTCAACAAAGATGACATACTTTAAAATGTCAAAATTATCTTTGCCCGCTTATTCTGTTCATCAGATTTTATTTTTACTCCCAAAGGGTCGAGGTGTTATTCTTTGCTCTCATGAAATCCCAACATACTAGGACTTTAGACTGCTGTGCCTTTGATTAGCTGCACACCAGGGAGGCTGGCCGGCCTGTTGAGCTAGTTTTTACCTGACAAATGAGCTTTGGAAATGGTGCAAAAAATATAATGCACTGTACCACTTATATCTTTACCAAGTTCCTATTTTCTTTTGGGGTTTTTTTTGTTGTTGTTGTTTCAATGAAAAACTGCTGTTACTTTCTTCAGTGGACGTTTCCTTCACAAACAAGAGCTTGGGATTTTCTCTTACTCTAGGAAAGGAAAATGAAAACCCAGGAGAAAAGGGTAGATGGAAAAAAGGGAGCTTGTAAGATGAGACAGGCAGAAATAAGAAAAAGGTAAAGTTGAACAGAAGAGAGGAAGGGGTGACAAAGTTTTCAATTCAGATTCAGTAGATCGGTGACAAATAATGTGTGCGTGTGTATTTAATTGTCCTACCTTGACACTGAAATCCCTGCTTCCCAAAACCCCTGTGAAGAGAACAAGCACACAGAGAAGTTAAAATGTGCATCCGCACACACACACACACAGAAAAGGAAAAAAACTGAACAGAAACTGAAACCTAATCGCTTAACCTTAAGATATCTCCATGGAAGCAAACGTTTAAAATGATGTTTCTGCCCAAAATAGCACACACACAACCACACACATGCACACACATACAGCAGTGAGGTTTGCAAGCACAGAGGTTGTTTAATTATCATGTAAACAGTTTGCTGGGCAGGTACTGAGGTTACATGCTGACACTGACAAACACCACACCTAGTCAGTGGTATGTGAAACGCTGAGATTCCCACAGGTGGACACACACATGCATAAACACACAAACACACACCCAGGCCAGCTGATTTTCATACAGTGACTAGAAATAGATAATCTCTCAGGGCCTGAAATCACTTGGTGCTCCCATTGTTCTTTTATCATTGTGCTTATTGACCTAGATAGATAGATAGATAGATAGATAGATAGATAGATAGATAGATAGATAGATAGATAGATAGATAGATAGATAGATAGATAGATAGATAGATAGATAGATAGATAGATAGATAGATCATCATCTGGCCATTGACAAATTTAAAACGCTTTAGGGAACAGATAATAAATAGCCCTGGAGTATGGGGCTCACGGTCTAGTAAACCCCGGGGGGGCTGCAGGGTGACCTGTCTGCACAGGTGACTGACAGAAGAAACTGCAGGCGGAAGAGAAGGAGTGGGAGGAGGCGGAAGGCTGGACTTGTGTCAGGGCAACACTTTCTTGTTACCACTCAGGTTATCCGTGCTGGCAGCGCTTCATTCCTTCCTCTTTTTTCTTTTCCTGCTTTCTTTTCTCTCAGTTCCTCTGCCTACTTAATAGCATCAAACAGTGGTCTGCAGCTATTCTTTTTATATAAAAAAAAAAACTTTAGAGCTACCCACATATATTTCTCTAGCTTCCTTTCTGCCCTACCTAACGCATATAGTATCTACAAGTACAAAAATAAGACGGAAATCGGTCTTTATTTTTGCGAAAACTAAATCAAGTCCACCTCCCACTTCTTCTTCCTTTAAAAAAAACAGCATACATCATGATACCGATTCTTCTGTCCCTACTTTATTTATCCCTACCTTTTATTCCTTCTTTTGCACCACTCACTTAGCCTATATAAATAAAAAGTGCCTTATCTGTACACAGTAAATGGATTTACCGTCTTCTTTAACAGCACCAACACAAGCAGTGACTTAAGTTAAATACTTTTTCTTTTTAAAAAAATAAATAAATATGAACTCTAGGTCCATCCCTGTTCCAGCTCCTCACCAGATGAAGTCGGTGCAGTGGCTGCAGAAGGTGGGCTGCTTGAAGAAGCGCGCGATGAATTTGTGGTCCTTCACCTCGTGCACGTTCTTCTGCCGGAGAGCTCCCTGGCGCGCGAAGCCCCGCATAGGCTCGCGGGGTCCGTCCTCCCCATCACTGTTGGCCGCCGCCGAGTCTGCCATTCTCCCGGTGTTTTCAAGCAGCTGCCTTAATGGTTGTTGGAAATGAACTACCTCAAGTTGCAGGTGCCAGAAACAGACGCTCTCTGGAGAGGCGGAAAGTCTTTCTTTCGTGGGTTGTTCCGAGAGGAGGTGTTGTCGGCGGTGCTGGGACCAGCTTATGGATAGTTTTCGGTAGTTTGGTTATTTTTTTCCTTCTCTGATTAAGTTGTCTTGTCCTCCGGTTGAGCAGACGGCTGCCGCTACACTGCCTCCCCTCTGCTTCCTCCTTTTTTCTTCAAAGCGCTCTGACAGCAGAGAGAGCGAGCGAGCGAGAGAGGGAGAGGGACGTCAACTATTAACATTATCTCATTTGCTGTGGCAGCTCCAATAGAAGCAGCGCGCTTTAACTAATCTGAAATAGAAATGGTGTTCAATTTAGTTAAGTTCACCTCTGTTTATATAGGCACTTATACTGTAAGATAAACACCCGACAATAATGCAAAGAAAACACATTTGGCGACAGTGGGAAGGAAAAACTCCCTTTTGAAGGGAAGACGATTCTGTTATAAGGGTGGGCAGTCATGTGCAAAAGACCAAAGACAGGCTGTGGATAATAATAACAAGATTTTAACTGCAGATAGTGAGGAAGTGAAGAAGAAACACTAAGAGTGTTTTCACGCCTGCAGTGCTCAGTTTGTTTAAATAAAACTCTGGTTAGTACAGGCGTGAACACAGTAATTGGCGTGGACCAAAACAACCCCAGGCTAGCAACTAGCCATGAAATGAATGTAAATTATCTGTGGCCTCTTATAGTCCTGAACATAGAACCTGCTTCCTCTACGTTTGCTGCTCCCGCCCCAGACACATCTGGCCAGTAAGTGGATTTTGGTTTACTTGGACCTTACTTGGATTCCTCTGTGTGAAAAAACAAACAAACAAACACAGGGAATAGCTACACATTTACAAACCCATCAACTGATTTGGATCAGAGTGAATTAACTATAGGTGTAAAAATTCACTTAGTGCATCATGAGACTCCCACACCAACCCAAGCCTATTGCAGCATAGCATTAAAATAAAGTTTACTTACATGTATATAGCATGTAAGTATATAGCACTTTTCTAGACCAGAAGCTGTCACAAAGTGCTTTACAAAGGTATTAAAAACCTAGTGAAATAAACACAAAATCAAAACAACACAAAACCCTGAAGCATTACACAAATGCCTGTCTGAACAGATGTGTTTGCAGGTGTTTTTTAAAAGGAGAGAGAGAGGTAAGCTGTTCCAAACAAAGTAAGAATCAAGGTTTTAAACTGATATCTAAATCTTTAACAATGGGGTCATGTGAGAGCATTTATGAGTGTGAGTTAGAAGCCTTGCAGCAGCATTCTGGACTGACTGGAGGCGATTCATAGACGCTTTACAGACAAGAAAATAGAGCATGACAATAATCTAAAGGAATCAAGATTTTTGAGACAACAGTCCTGGTTTTAGCAGTATAACTATGGGAGAATTCAGAGTCAGCTAATCCAGCCACCACTGCAAACCTTATTAAAAAGCAAAGTTTTAAGTCTAATCTTAAAAGTAGAGACTGTCTGTCTCCAAAATCCAAACTGGAAAATGAACCACAGAAGAGGGGCCTGAAAGCTGGAGGCTCTGCCCCCCGAAAGAAAATTATAGCCCTTCCTCACTGGTACCTACTCGGCTCGGCCAGTTTCAAAAATGGCAGTTTGGCTTTCGTGAAGGAGCTGCTCTCGTGGCTCATCGGGTGATGCCACTGACTATCCAATTGGTGGCATGCAGTCTGTTGATGTCACAGTTTCAGATTGACTCAGATCATTTGAAATCATGGCCGAGTAGGTACTAAAAAAGTACCTGGTACCAGGGACCACCACCTAATGGAAAACTCTAAAAACACAACATCGAGTCAAGCCAACGAAGTAGGTACTAGTGGAAAAGGGCTATTAGTGAGTGAGGGATATGGATATGGATTAGTCCTCTGACCTAGCTGTAAAGTCATACTGTGACAGTTATTTCCTGGGAAAAAAACAACTAAAAACACTGTTAATAGTTTAGCATCAATAACTACAGAAACAAAAGGAGAAAACACCTGACTTGTCAATTAGCCTCACTTCACTGTGTCATCAGAAATGGGACTTTCAAAATGTATCCACCCATGAACACATGAAGTCTACTGGCTCTGTTTCCCCCCAGCGTTTGTTATAGTGTGCAGTATGTGGGATTCTCTGAAAATGCCAGATAATGTCACAAAAACAGGATAGACAAATTAAGTGGTCGCCTTAAATTTAAAGTGTGCAGTGGGAAAGTCTCTCAGTTTTTTCCCCAAAGTAGAGAGATAATAGGCTAGTAAACCTATTTAAGCACAAAGTCACAAAATAAGCATTGTGGGTTTTGTCCTCCCATCACTTCAGAGGAAGCTCTCTGCAGCTGGCACAGACAGCAGCAACAAAAACAGTAATCAGCAACCCTCCTAATGTTCCTACATGTCAACAAGTTTTAAAATGCTTAAAATATTGTTAAAAGTAATTTATTGGAGACTGCTTTCAATCTTACATCCGGTAAATGGAGCAGTCCCGATAATTGTGATGTTTTACAAAGGCTTAAACAATGTGATGAATGATGTATTTACACTAACCATATCATTAGTTACACTTTTCCACTGGTTGGACCCCCCTTTGCCTTCAATTCTTAGTGGCACAGATTAAACAAGGTGCTGAAACACTCCTCAGAGATTTTGATTCATATTGACGTGGTAGCATCGCACAGTTGCTGCAGTTTTGTCAACTGCACATTCCATGATATGAATCTTCTTTTCCACCACATCCCAGGAATGATCTACTGGAAACCATGGAGGCCATTTGACTACAGTGAACTCATTGTCATGTTTAAGAAATCAGTTTCAGATGCCTTTGTGACATATCCTGCTGGAAGAAGGTCATAAAGAGATGGATATGATCAGCAACAATGCTTAATGTTGCTGTCATATGAATAACTGGTTAGATATTTGCATTAAAAAACAGCTGAACAGATGTACTCTAAAGGGGAATGTGAGTGCATATGTCTTATGGCATACATACAAAAAACACCCCCAAAATTTAAGTAAAAACGAGTTTATTCAAGCGGTGGAAGATGGAAAAGAAAGATTTTAACAGCTTGAACATTCCCTTGTCAAGAGTCATCAAACAAACAACACGGTCAAGGACGTAAAGTTTGAAAAACACAATTTCAAATGTGCAGTGGCCTATTGATTGTACACATGCAGAAATGACACCTTTCTCTTATCTCAGTTCCATTTTAACCTTGAGTTATATTTGGTTCAGGTTATGTAAGGCTAGCATGTGATAAAACTGGGAAAAATGTCATCTCCATCACCAATATCACACACAGCCATCTGTAAACACAAGGAACGATACTCAATATTTGAAACTGAAGTGTTCATTTCCAAAAGGAGATTTGAACATTTGGGGATGAAAAAAACACACAGAATCTCTCCTCTTAGAGTTTGAGTTCTGGCATTGAAACCAAGCACAGTTGTTGAGTAGTGACTCATCTTAAGACTTTTGCTTTCAAAGGGATTTTGAAGGATCATCATCTGCGACTGTTGGATGAATTTCATGCTAAAAAGTTTTCCAAGATACAGTCAAGGTATTTTTGGAATGAAACCCATCAATTACATGACTTTCTGAGTCATTTCACCAGCCAGTGTGATGCTTCACAGAAAGAGGCAAGAAACTACAAACCACCTGCATCGCTCAACTGTCGAAGGATGAATTTACATTTACAAAAAGCAAGCACGTTAAACTTCTACATATAACTACATATTCTGCATTTACACACAGCCAAGAAACTGAAAAATCCATAAAGAACTGTTATAGTAGTAGCATTAAAGGCATGGATCTCATTCCAGGACAGGGATCTACCCCAAATAGCCCATGCTGTCCACATCATGCTGCACTCACCTCTTATTCTAACAAGCACACCTAAGTGCCTCATCCCAGCCCATATTTTCCAAAACATCTTTGCTCCAATGGTCTAAAACTCAAATGAGTTCTCCCACACATGCACATGCACACACATGCAGTCAGCTGGCTAAAATGACCTAGATGTGATTGATTCAGCTGCAGGACAGATAACAGTGTGCAATCCATTCAGGTCTCATCATTTGGAAGATTGCTGTAGATTTAGCTGGCAGCTGAAATGAAGCTTTTCTTTTTTGTTAACCTTTTTGCCCCCCGCCACCAGACTTTCTTAGTCATACACCTTCTGACATTAGAAGCACACCTACCTGCGTTTTTGCATAATTGTTCTCCTCAGCAGCTGGCAGACTGTAAAAAATAATGACAGCTTAATTTGCTATGATGCCAGGCATCAAGTGACATGAGCATAACCTGTGAGTAGGTCTAACTGAATTGGTCTATTGTGTCGCATGTGTACACTGGAAGTGATGCACTTTACATGAAAGCCACCGGCCTCTTTCACTTTTATCAATGCAGGATGGGGGCTAGAGACAGCGAAAAGGCAAGCCTGAAATCAGCTGCATTTTTGTCTTTCAAGGCAACCAGTTGGCAAAAATCTCCTTGTGATTAAAGGTTGTGACTCAAAACCACACCCAACACTGCCCAACTTTTACGCTGAAGCTGAACAATTTTCCATATTCGGGTTCACATCACACATTTGCAGGTTTTACTTTTGTGTGTGTTTGCAGACAAGTTGCCGTCTCCCATGCAAACTTTGGTGGCAATCTGCTGGTGAATAAAGCAAACATAAAGAGGTTTTTGGTCCATTTCCTGAATGAGTAGTTGCTGTATCACATCCAGTATGGCAGACAACTCTTGAGAAATGTGCGCACAAGGCCCCCCTGAGAAACCTCTACAGCCTGTGTGATAGCATGCAGTTCTCCCACTGAAAACGCTACGGCCCGATCAACAGAATCAACTGGATTTTGTTACCTGGATGATTGAGAATGCATCAAGATGCTAACACGTATTTTAATAACCAGTCAGAGTAAAATACAACCAAGGCCAATGGGAACAAATGTTTTTTTTTTTAAATTATTATTATTATTATTATTAATAGTACACTGAAAACAACAACAACAACATAGCATCAGAAACAGAACATCAGCCTTACCTCAATATAAGGATAGATTGTGCAAGAGGTAGCGCACATGACACCCACTCTCTAGTGGTGAGTACACAGGGATATTAGCTGGTCTCCTCTCACATCAGACCAATCTGAAATCACACAGACTTTGTCCTAAGGAGAAGGCAGGTAAAAGC